ATTTTTGACTTAACACACACCATAATATTACTCTTTTAGCCTAACCCACACAACACAATACATACTCTAACATAAGATAATGTATGCACCATCAAAGTTGAAAAGACAATAATGTCCAAAATACAATTCACTTTAATTTTAGATTCAAGTCTCTCTCTCCCCCTAATTTGTGTTGGATCTATGAAAGCAACGTGAGAGCAAACGGCGAGAACCAAATGACAAGCTGAAATTTTACGGTGACGAAGCAATTGGTGTGGTATTTTGCAAAAATTTAAACAAAAAAATAGTTTTAGTATTATTCATAAATATAGTGTTTAAAAACTTAATATGTTCACAAATTTATATTTGAAGAAAACCAAAATGTTCAATTTTTTATGTATGAACATTTAATACTTGTTCAATTTTAATAATATGAACAAAATGATTCTGTTCAAATATAAATAATTGAGCATTTTGTAAATGTTTGAGTCTGGATGTGCACGAAACGAATAAGCCATTGTTGTAAAGATGAACAACGGTCTTTTGTTCCAAATCAATAAGAACAAGATAAATAAAAAAGTAAATTGACATTTTTATTGCTGTTTTGTTCCAAATCAATGTCATCCATAGTATGTAAATCTTTAAAATCAATTGATTTCAGTATTTTAAAAACCTAAATCTTCCAAAACAATAATATTTGGAGTTTGAAAAATAATAGAAGAGATTTGTTCTAGGTGATGATCTGTATAAAGACATTTGTGTTTTCATATGTGAATTGTTGAAATGAATATATACTCACCTATATTGTTCTTAATAACCATTATACTTGAGGATATTATTGTCATATAGATTTAATGGTTAAATGGTGTGTACTGAGAGGATTGACAATGTGTAAATAGAATTACCTTTAATTCTTTTTGACTATCTGTTCAAATATTTTCTTATCTATTATTTTTTTTCTTATATGTTGAAACTATCTGTTGAATTTTTTTAGCTGTTATTTTTTTTTATCTATTTAAATTTTATTTGATTCAAGGACAAATAAAGGTACTGGAGAGAAGAATGAAATGATCTAATACTAGGATGCTACAATATGGATATTTTTGTCATTTTGTAGAAATTTATCTTTATGGACAAAATATTTTAGCTTGTGGAGTTTTGGACAAACAAAATTTAAATTTGAATTTATGGATTGAGTTCCTTTATTTAAATAATTTTTCATAATAGCTAACATTGTTATTTTTAATTTAAAGAGAATTTACAAATCAATGGTACCCTCTAAAAATAATTATGATTTTAATTATTAAAGTGTATAAATTGTTTCATCAATTTGTAGTTATTTTAAGAGAATATCAGTAATTTATTATTTCTCCTAATTTTAAACATGGATTAATTATCTAGAAATCCTATCTACATATTTGATAGTTGCTTAGGTCCTGTCTACAAGTTTTTTAACCAATAAGTCTTATTTATAAATAAAAAGACATTTTTTCCCTTCAACCCAAACATGTATTTATGTATGTGTATATATATATATATATATGACAACATTGATGTTATTTACTAAAAACAAAAAACAAATCAGTTATGGAAAGTAGATCAGGATACGATCTCGAAGGATGTCGAAAGAATTTCTCGGTTTGATTCGCTATTATACATAAATTGATTTTAGTGTTTGACAGATTTGTATTTGAGGTTTTTTGATTTGAAATATGTAGAGTTTGTTAGTGTAACGCCCTGAAATAATTCAACATGAGCTACCCACAAATAATCAACATTAACCAACAATAACAATAATCTGCCCATCTTTACATAATTAATAATGAGTCTTCACAAAGGTTTTACATGCGGGTATGCATTCATCAGTACAAAAATATGAATCTATAGCATGTAAAGCGTCTATCCTCAAAACAATACAATGCCCTTAAGGGCTTACATCTTCCAAGGCATAAGCCTGGTTACACAAAAATGGTTTTTCCAACCCATACACATTAGCCCTAGGCTCAAAAGAATTACACAAAATAAAAGAGCTATGTACTCTTCTCAAAATATCCACACCCTCAGTTCGGCGGAATCACCACATCTTTACCTGCACCAAATCCCATAGGGGTGAGCACAAAGCCCAGTAGAGAATTCTTACAAAGTATATACAGTTATGCATACTCTTTAAAACAAATGCAATTGTTAATGCCATGCCATGCATCCTTATGAGAAAGTCCATTTCGTGCACATTTAAAAGTTTCTATCTTCCAACAATCATTTGCAATCTCAACATTTTTTCCAAAATTTCCAATCATTAATCAATAGGGGTGGTAAATACGACACTGGTAATCTCTAGGCTGGTGTCTGCAAGTAGACTCTACGAGTACTACCAAACTGTCATTTTTACTAGTATTAACCGGAAGGCTCGACACCTATCCGCGTGGTTTTCGGGTCTCTCACCCTGGACACTCAGGCCAACTTATCAAATTCAACTACACCCCCTATCCGGACTTACCACGTATTAGCCCCATTCACAATTCCATAATTCTCATTACAACATAATCCTTTTCAAAGTACACCTTTTTCCAATTCATTTCAATATGTGTAACAATGATGATAAATCAAATGAGAACATGATGCGATACATAATATCTCATAACATTTCTCCATTTTCAATGTCTCCACACTAATGTCAACATTCACAATTTCCATTTCCCCTCTTCACAGTTCTTTTACAAGATCCCCATGAGCCATTAATACATAGCTACAATCATTATCCATGGTGTACAACAATTGTCATTCCACAACTATATATTATCATTTACTCAACAATAGTTTTTAAAGCAAAACACCCATTTCAATATGCCAAAAATTTTCCATATTTGCAAAGCACATTGTGAAGTCAAGGCTCACTCATCTTTTTATCAAAAGAAAGGAAGGTTCCAAGAACATTTCCACATTTTCCCAAAAATCCCCAATCTCTAGGGTTTTCATCAAAACCCCACATTACCCATTTCATGGTGAAACCCACCCAAATCATATTCCTTGAGTTAAATAAAGTGGAAACCCTCTAGGATTAGCAACATGGTTGATATTTAAACCCCTATTTTCAAAACTCTCTTTACATTTGGAGCAAAATCAAACTCAACACAATAATCTCAAACACTTTTAAGATCAACATTTAGGTAGTAAAACATATATATATATATATATATAACTCAAGAAATCCCTACCTCAAATGGAGAGACTCAAAGGAAATGAAGGAGGAAACTCAAGATGCTCTAAATCCCATGATTTTCAGATCAAAACGAAGCCCATGCAAAGCTCCACACTTTTTACAAAGGGAGTAGGGTAGAAACCCTCTAGATCAAGTGCTCTTGAAGAGAGAAGAGGTGTTTTAGAGAGAGAGTGTGCCGAATCTAGGGTTTGGAGAGAAATGGAGATGAAAAAGTGATGCTTTACCCGCTGCTGAGAACTGATAAACTCGAGGCTCACTCGAGCGTAGGAGTGGTCGCTCGAGCGACCAGACACAAAAGATCCTCGCTCGAGCGCAATAAGCGTCGCTCGAGCGAACAATGCGAAGTTTCAGGTTTGCAACCCAGAAGCACGCTCGAGCAAAGGACCGTTCGCTTGAGCGAAGAAACCCAAAACATAGACCTCGCTCGCTCGAGCCAAGAATGACAACCTTCAGGTCCAAAAGAGACGCAGACGCACGCTCGAGCACAAGACCTATCGCTCGAGTGAAGAGACACACCACTCAAAGCTCGCTCGAGCGAAGTAACCCTGGCTCGAGTGAAGGAACTAAAACACAAAGCTCGCTCGAGCGACAAAAACCTCGCTCGAGCGAAGACCCCAAAATCTGGACAACAACCATTTGTTTCAAAACATACCCAACCTGTTCCAAACCTGCCCAACACATCCCAAAACTCGAATACAAAGAATTAAGGACGAAAACAAAATGAACACTTCAACAACCAACCATGGAACCCGAGTTCAGAATATAATACATGAAGGGGGAAAACCGGAATCGTTATAGTTAGGTGCGATTTCGATTTGTAAATTGAAGAATTGATTTGCTGGATGTTTGATTTTCAATTTGGCTTATAAGTATGTGTGGTTTCGATTTTGTGTATTATGTACTTTTAGATATTTTTTTTAGTTTTGATTGAATTGATTTATGAGAATATGTTGAATAATTTTGATTTACGAGTTTATTTTGTGATTAGTTGTGCTTGATTTATACATTTCCAGATTTGTTAAAACTAAGAAAGTTCTTGGTATTGTTATGAAGTATTTGTTTTGCTTTTGCAGTTTTAGTGAACTGAGAATTGTTCAAGTTTTTATTGATGTGATTTATTTTTTATTTTTTATTTTTGCCGAGTCAAAGATGACTGAAGGTTCTACGAGTGTTCTACGAGTGTCCTGATTTTTTTGTTGTGCAAGTATAATGGTTGCACATTTGCAATTAAGATTGATCGAAATATTACATATGATCTGTTGGTTGATAAGCTGTGTTTGAAATGGGATAGTTTGCAATGTGATAACGTTTGCCTATCTTACTCATTGCTTGGACATCCAAGTTGTACGTTGGACAACAATGAGGAGTTAGAATTATTGTTGGCATTAGTTATGCATTTTGATTCGCATTGTATTGATGTTGTTGTGAGAGGAAAAAATTCAACCGTTGGCTGTGGTAATCTCAACAACAGATTGGATTATGGACAAAGAGAGTCGATGTTGGAGCTTGAAGTTTGTGATGCTACATTGTCTAACGACAACAGTAACTCTGTGAACTTGTCAAACAGAGCATCAACATCCTCCGTGAAAAATTTGAGGTTGGAGGTTGATATATTATCATCATTTTGTCAGCATAAGGAAAAAGTACTATTGTCTGCTAGTTAGGCAGATAGTATTATACATATAAGACAAAAATTTGAAGATGGAATTGTTGAATTTCGTAATGCATTGTCGAAATTTTCTATTGAGTGTGGATTTGAGTTTGCATTTGTTAAGAATGTTAAAGTTCATGTTACCGCACAATGTTGTTTAGAGAGACAAAAGGTTGTGTGTGGAATGTTCATGGTAGAGTGGAGAATGCTAATGGATTCTTTTATATAAGGAAGCTTAATAATGCCCACACATATGGTGCTGAAGTACATATAATGAATCATTCCTGTATAAATTCAGATTTAGTTGTTGATTTGATTGTTGAAGGTGTTCGTGATAATCCATTGACACGTCCGGTTCATGCTATTCGGGATTTTAAGTTGGGTTATGGGCTGAGAGTTAGTTATCTTCAAGCTTGGTTGGGGGTAGAGAAAGCAAAGGGTGATATTTTTGGAGACTACTTAATGTCATTTGACCAATTAAGATGGTATGTTGATGTTGCAAAGAGTTGCAATTTAGGGAGTTACATTGAGTTTGAGTGTGACAATGATTCTAAACTTTTTAAGAGATTATTTGTTGCTTTTCATAATTGCATTAGTGGATTTGATTATTATAGACCTCTCTTGTTCCTTGATGGCACATTTTTTAAGAGAAGATTTAGAGGAAATTTACTTGCTGTTATAGGAAAAGATGGAAATCAAAGGACACAAGAAATCTGTTTTTCTCTGTTATGAAATTGAGAAAGTTTTCAGTTTAGAAATATGATTGAATGTTTTAAATTTTATATAATATTGTTGTTGTATATACATTTTTTTATTTTTATAGTTATTCGTTTCTGTGTTTGATATTTTGAATGTTAAAGTGTTGCCTTTTTTTGAGAATAATAGAATATTCTCATTTTTTTTGTTTTGTACATGCAGGGTTCTTTCCTGTTTGTTTTACAATTGTTGGCTTAGAGCATCAAGACAACTGGTGTTGGGTTTTGGAACATTTGAGTTCAATTGTTTCATCAGGACAAAATATTACATTTGTGTTAGATTGTAACCTTGAATTACTTGAAGTTTTGCCAAAGGTTTTCCCAATGGCTTTCCATGCTTATTGTTTATATCATTTGAAGATGAACTTGAGGCACCATTTGCATGGTATGTTTCATGGATTGAAAGAAAAATTGATTACTTTGTTTGGCTAATGTGCATATGCTCCAACTAAAGAAACATTTCATCAATGTTTGGTTGAGATAAAGACTGAAGGTGAGTTAAGAGTTAAAAAGTTTTTAGATGATATACCATATGATCATTGGAGTAATGCATATTTTCGAGGGCAACGCTTTGGAGAGATATGGTCGAATGTAGCTAAATATTTCAATTCGTGGATATAAGAGGAACGCCATTTGCCTATCGCAAAGTTGATTGATAGTGTAAGAATTAAATTGATGAGGGGAATTGCTAAGAGGAGGGAAATTGCTAATAAATGGAATGGCGTGTGTAGACGCGCCCTCGGGCCTCACTACAGTTCGGACTCAATTTGTGTCACGGTCCTGTATCTAATCTCGCAGAGTGCAATGCAAGACCGATGACTCATCAATGAGTCCAAATCTAGCAAATCGTTTTGGAAAACAGATTTTTTAGAAAGAAGTGCCAAACATGGACTACTTTGCCAGATACAGAGTCGCCACCTAAATATTCATTTTGGGGAAATTTAGGAAACCCTGACTTGTTGCCTAAGGCCACGTGTCTGTCATCACCAAAGTTGCCTCGGCTCGGGAACTTGGGTACGATTGGGGAAGGTCACTTCGTGAGCACCCCAACTCGCCCGATCAAAGATCGACCTCTACTAACTATGATATGTAGTTTTGAAAATGTTATGTGCTCTTATTCTGCATCTCCTCCTCTACACATAACGTATACAAACACATTGGTTCTATATACAATCACTCAATACATGCAGTTAATGTATTCTATCAACCGTCAAATTCTATGACACGTTCCATTGATTAGTTTTCGTTTGCCTAATCATGATGCATTGTCTACAACAATCACGACTATCCTCCACCGATAGCCCAAAGCAGTTATTTCTAAACAGAAAATAAATGCACAAATGGATATTCAATCAACATTTCATTTCCTCATTCTTCTCAATTAATTATCCCAATTAATTAAACAATGTAATTAGGTCAATTCCCATAATTAACATTTCAACCCTTAGGTCCCATTTTCATCAATGATTTAACATTAATTCCATTTCTCTATGCCAAACATGCATCTAGGTTTATTATGAATAAAACCTCAACATCTCAAAATACCAAAATTTAAAGACAAAATCCATAGAGAGGAGTAGGATATCCCTACCTCGAAGTTTAAGCCAAAAAGGAGATGAAGACCCGAAGATCAACGTGTTCCAAATCCCAACTTTTTCAGATTAAAACAAAGCTCTCAACGCCCTCTATCCTTTTAACAAAGGCCCTAGGCTAGATTCACACTCTAAGGAGATCAAATCTTAGAGAGAGTGTAAGTGTAGAGAGAGAGGGTCTCGGATTTAGGGTTTTGATCAAAAAGAAAATGAAAAAGTGATGTTTCAAAACGCTACTGTCCGCTGATATAAAACACTCTCGCTAGAGCGAAGACTTGGTCGCTCGAGCGACCAGACACAGAAACACTCGCTCGAGCCAAGGAACTCTCGCTCGAGCCAAAAACTCAAAAGTGCGCTCGAGCTAAGGAATGCTCGCTCGAGCCAACAACTCAAACCCTCAGGTCTGCAACCAGAAGCACGCTCGAGCGACAGACCTCTCGCTCGAGCGAAGAACAAACCAGACCGCTCGAGCCAAGAGAAGCTCGCTCGAGCCAAGAAAGACAACTCTCAGGTCCAGAACCAAGAGCAAGCGCTCGCTTGAGCGAAGCCACTCTGGCTCGACCCACCAGGCACAACTCAACTCTCGCTCGAGCGACAAACTCTTAGCTGGAGCGAAGGGCCAAAAATCTGGGCAGCAACACTAGGCTCCCAAACACAACCAACCTGAAACAAACCTGCCCAACACATCCCATAACTCACTATACAAAGTAAAAAGGATGCAAACAAGATAATAAACAACTACCAACATCCACGGACACATGTCCGCATCACTGTACAACAAGGGTAAACCCGGGATCGCTATATCTGTTCCAAATGATGAATGATGCATGCTTGAGTTGTCTTGCGCAGAAATCCATTACGATGCCCCAGTTTGCCTCTGTTTGCAATTGTTTTTGGAATATTGCGCAACGCTCCAGAAGGCCGCTGATTTCTGATTTACTGCAACAGAGAGCAACAAAGGGGCATGGCAAAGTATTTTCACATATGTATGCATGACTACTCTTCAGGGAGTGTAGTCCTCGATCCTCGTGCCACCAATCACGCATATCGATGCATGATGGCCGAGGAGTCGAATTGCACGACTCAATATGAAATGCATGCCACCAGTGAAAACACAACAAGACGCTAAACTCCATCATGGTAATCCGGATGTCGCGGCCGACAGGGAAAATTGAAGACACGTTCCGCTCACTCGGCAGTAACGAAACGTACCCTCGCTTCCCGTGCTTGGGCTAAAACTTCTATCCGCAAAACACGATGCAAATGAGATGGCATACACAATGCGACTAACATACAACCTAGCATACGCAATGCTATGAAATGGCATACACAATGCTCGATGTGACATGGCATACACGATGCTCTAACATGCAATCTAGCATACGCAATGCTATGGACCGAAATGACATACACAATGCATGATGGACTTACACCAACATGAATGGACCTCAGCCACACTCACATTAGTGGCCATGAGATGGAAAAGAGACAACCGAAATGCGTTCACACGTGCACGTATATCGAGGACTGAACCTAAGGCATAAAATGCCACTCTACCAAAGCATGGCAAGGGATGAAAGATGGCATACAAACATGCAATTTCCAGCACTGAAACATGATGCTAAATGGTCCCGAAACATGGAAATACGCATGAAATAAGCCCTGAAACTCAAAGCTAGGCACATGTATTGAATTATAACTATGCAAAGCAAGCATTATTTGGCCATGAAGTATAAAGACAGAGCCAAGGCAGTCCCAAAACATGCACATTTCTAGTTTAAAGCATGGCCAAAAAGTGCTAACATGATGGACTAAAATAGCATGCAAATTTGACTAGCAAGCACAGTTTACATGGCATGTATATGAAGCGTATGAGAACTCATCAAACCAGCCAAAAACAGTGAATAAAACATGACAAAATATTCCCAAATAACCACTGAAATGCAGCCAACATGTGCAAAAATGATGAGCTCCTTTGAAAGGGCATGCAAGGGGTTACTCAACACATATATGATGGACACTTAGCATAGCAAAACCAACTCTGGAAATCAAATATGACAACCCTAAAACTCACCAAAAAGGGCTTGAAATTGATCAATAAAGCATACAATGAAAGGTAGTCTTGAAAGGCCTTGTGGAGGGTTGTTCCACACATGCACGAGGGACATAAAATATGGCCAAAAGGGCCTTGGACAGAGCTAAGGTAGACCTCAAAACTCTCAGAATGAGGCCTGGAACATGACTTCAAAGCATGCAAAAAGGGGTCCCTTTGGAAGGCCAACAAGACCACCAAACAAGACAAGGAGAGAGGGGGTCACTCCTCTCTTATAGCGACCCCGGTCTTTTCCCATTTGATTATTGTATCCTGACTGTTCCGTAGATTTTGTCATTGTATAATTGTTGTTGTTGTTGTTCCTTATTTTTCTCATTTGGAATACAAGACAAGGAGAGAGGGGGTCACTCCCCTCTGATTTTGGCTCTCAAAAATGCATCTAAGCCACTGAAAATCCACTGGATTTCAGTGGCTAAGAGGCCAAACCATGGCCAACGCAAGTGCTCTAATGCGTAGCCCTAATCATGAAGAGATGAAGCATGCATAGGGAGAAGATGACCCCAAACAGAAAAGAGACCTTAACCAACCTCTAGCAGCTTCTGGACCAAGTTGGTGAGCTTTCAACCTCTGTAAATGACCTCCAAGGTGCTGGAATGAATGAGGGAGGTGGTAGGCTAAGAGGTGTAGGGTAAAATGGCCAAGAATATGAGTGTTTTGAGGCTTGAAGTATAGAGATAGAGGGTTGTATGTATATTTCCAGCCAAAAGCTTCTAACCCCTGAAAATGGAGGTGAAGGGTTGATTATAAAGAGGGAGGAGGCCATGGCTTCTTGGAGAAGCCAAGAGAGAGGCTCGAAGCTTCTAAAGGAAGCTTGACCAAAGGGGTCAAGCTTCTTGAAGAAGCCAAGAGAGAGGCTCAAAGCTTCTAAAGGAAGCTTGACCAAATGGGTCAAGCTTCTTGAAGAAGCTAGACCAAATGGGTCAAGCTTCCTCAAGAAGCTTGACCGAAGGGGCCAATTCTTCTTTGCTTGGACAGAGCTAAGGCAGACCTCAAAACCCTTAGAATGAGGCCTGGAACATGACTTCAAAGCATGCAAAAAGGGGTCCCTTTGGAAGGCCAACAAGACCACCAAACAAGACAAGGAGAGAGGGGGTCACTCCCCTCTGATTTTGGCTCTCAAAAATGCATCTAAGCCACTGAAAATCCACTGGATTTCAGTGGCTTAGAGACCAAACCATGGCCAATGCAAGTGCTCTAATGCGTAGCCCTAATCATGAAGAGATGAAGCATGCATAGAGGGAAGATGACCCCAAACAGAAAAGAGACCTTAACCAACCTTTAGCAGCTTCTGGACCAAGTTGGTGAGCTTTCAACCTCTGTAAATGACCTCCAAGGTTCTGGAATGAATGAGGGAGGTGGTAGGCTACGAGGTGTAGGGTAAAATGGCCAAGAATATGAGTGTTTTGAGGCTTGAAGTATAGAGATAGAGGGTTGTATGTATATTTCCAGCCAAAAGCTTCTAACCCCTGAAAATGGAGGTGAAGGGTTGATTATATAGAGGGAGGAGGCCATGGCTTCTTGGAGAAGCCAAGAGAGAGGCTCGAAGCTTCTAAAAGAAGCTTGACCAAAGGGGTCAAGCTTCTTGAAGAAGCCAAGAGAGAGGCTCAAAGCTTCTTGAAGAAGCTAGACCAAAAGGGTCAAGCTTCCCAAAGGGGCCAATTCTTCTTTGAAGCCAAGCAAAGGGGTGAAAACCAACTTAAAAGGGGCCAAAACAAGGACAAAACCCTCGAACAGTGGGTCAAGTGTAAAACAGCTGGCACAGCTGGAACACACTCAGAGAGACAAAACTGGCTGACCAGTTCAAAAGGGTCAGGGCGGTCGGCCGACCAGGGGTCAAAAGGTTCAAGCAAAATTGCTGGTCGGCCTACCCAGAAAGGTGGCCTCCCAGATGAGTAGAACACAGCCCTGTGGTGAAAAACCAGAAAATGTGACCCAAGAGAGAGAAAAACCAGCTTTTTAGAGGGGTTCAAAAGGGTCAAGAGGAATTACTAGTCGGCCTACCCATATTGGTGGCCTTCCAGATGAGCACAACACAATGATGGTAAGAAAAGCCATAAATTGTGGCTCCAAAGTGAGAAAAACCAACTTTCTGTCAGAAAAATCGGCTTTAGGAGAGAGAAAAAGAGAAAACTGGTTTTTCAGGGGAAAAGGTGGCCTCCCACCATACTACCACCTCCCTAGCAATAAAAATAGGGTCCCTACCAAAAATGGACCAAGACGGATGCAAAACGAGGATTCAGGGGCCAAAACGCGCAGCCGGGGGCCCGAAAAACTGACTATTAGGCACCGGAGGTGGCGTTCGACTACGAAGTTGGTCTCTCGAGCCACAGTGTCCCTCAAAAGGGAGGAAACAAGGTGTGTGCCAAAAACCAGAGCAAACGGAGGTGGTTAAGCAGTCCTGAACCGAGGCACACGGCCGACGGCTCTGAAAAACTAGAAACCGGGCTCCAAACGGGAAAATGGCCTACGACCACGAAACGTAGCCTACGGCCACTGAGAGATGGTCTACGAGACCTGTCCCTCCCTTTAGGAAGAGAAAACAGAGGAAACGGGACCTGGTTCACAAACTGAGGCAAAGCACAAAAGAGCCCCGAAGTCCGAAGGCAAGGCTCGCAGCCAAGACTCTGAAACCTCAGAACGAGCACAATATACATCATCACCGAGCGCTCAATTGGTGACGTCTGAGTCTTAAGGTTGGTCAGAAATGGGGTGTCTACTGCGTGATATGCCCCAAAATGGAGTCCAAGTTGCATGATGTTTTGAATACTTCGAGGCCATGGATTGTTAGTTCACCTAGGAATGATGTTTATGAGGTGCATTCACATCCATTTGTTTCAGTTGACATTAGTAGACAAATATGTTCTTGTGGGGAGTGGCAGTTGAAAAGTGTTTCCATGGGCACATGTTGTTGGTGATATACAAAAGAGTGAGCATGATTTGAATTTATTTGTTGATGCATACTTTTATGTTCAAAGTTATCGAGAGGCCTATTCTTTTCCAATATATATTGTTCTTTCAATTTGGAAACCAGATTGTAATGTTGATGGTGATAGTGATGTTGTTCTTCCTCCTTTGTCTAGGAAGCAACCAGGAAGGCCAAATAAGAAGATGATTCGTTCCAATAGTGAGAAAGTAAGGCAAATTATTTGTGGTAGATGTGGGAAGGTTGGAAATCACAATAAGAAATTGTGTAAGGAGGCTTTGTGATTTTTTGTAGTTGCTTTGTGATGGGAAAATTTTCATATTCATAAATTTCTTGAAGTTGGAGGTTGTACTGTTGAGAACTAATTAATAATCTTCTATATTTTGAATAAAGTGACATTGAATTGAAAGTGAAAATATTTTTAGTTTCGAATTTTAGTTTTGAAATTGTTTGTGATAATATTGTTTCATTGGCTTTGTGTTTGTTTTCAATGTGAATTATTTGTTTGGTTAGCTTTGTAAATAAACTGGACTGTTGAATGTTTGTTTTGAAGATTATGTGAACACTACGTAAAAAGTGAATATATTCACAGTTTAAGTTTTTATTTCAAATTAGTTGATTGTGATAATAGTGTGAGGCTCTTGCTATGAATTGGAACAAGTTATAAATGTGATCAACTGAATGAATGTGAATTAATATTGTAAATAGATGTGATCAATGTTCTATGTTTTGAATAAAGTAACACTGAATTGAAAGTGAAAATATTCTTTGTTTTGAATTTTAGTTTTTCAAATTGTGATACTATTGTGAGGCAGCAAATAAATTGTTGTGATAATATTGTTGTTATGATTGTTGAATATTTGTTTTGAAAATTGAGTGAATACTGTATAAAACTGAAAATATTCTCAATTTTAAGTTTTTAATTTCAAAATAATTGATTGTGATAATATTGTGAGGCAACAAAGCACTGTATAGAAAACTGAAAATATAAACAAAACATCAACAAAACACTGATTGTGATATAGTAAAGTCTTATGCCCATGGTCCATTAAAACCATAATTTTCACATGTAACACTATTTTCACTTTTCCCATATAATAGCATGAGGAACAAGATAATAGAAACTGAAAATATGAACAAAAACATCAAGAAAGCCCCAGTGCATATATGTTTGAGAGTATGACAAAATATTCCATTACACATGATAGGAATTCTAATATGTTTGTGAGGCAATATACTAGCAAATATCAACAAAAACATTAGTCATTGTATCAGAGCGTGACAAAAAAGAGTTAATTGAGTTACACATCAAAAAAGATTTCATTGAAAGTCGCAATCTTCTTCAACACTTGACTCTAATTGATCTTTGTCGATCACTGAGGAACTCATGTACTATGTTTGTTATCACTCTTGTGGATGTGCCTGGTGGTAATCTGTTTGGAATTGGTTAATGCCTTATGTATTGTCTTATGATACAGCACACAATAATTCCACAGTCAGCTCTACAGAAATTATTTTTGACACAGTTAGGGATAGAACAAAAAATTTTGAAAAAGAAAGATTAAAATTTGTTAATTAGAATAACATAACATACGTCATTTCTTCTTGTTGAGGACTGTCTTTGACTAATGCAATCTTCACATTTGGATTCCATGCCTTTTCTGCTTCATAAGGTGTATCCTTCATGTATTCATTGAGGATTTTTTGCCCTAAAAAACATCAATATAAAGTATGTAATGGTTTAAATATAATTATTGTAATGGTAATATAAAATTGTTCGTACCAATTGATATGCAACATTGTAGTGCTTGTCCTTTCTTTTTCTTGGTCTCAAAGAGTTGAAATGTTTCCAAGTCCCCATGTGTTTGTCGATAACAAGTAATGTCCAACGATTGGAATTGTGGATGGGAACATGGATGTATCTACATTTGAGGGCTTCTTCCAAAGTATTTTTCCAAATCTTTTTCCTTTTTTCTGAAATTTTCTTCTTCAACATTGGCTGTTTTTAAAAAAATAAAAAATAAAAAAAAAATAAAAAAAATGAAAACATTCACTGTAATGGTACCAAACTTAACATTCAAATCTAGATAAAAAGCAACAAAACATGATTAACTAGGATTTTTCACTCAAATTGTTTCGAAATCTGAGTATATTCACAGCATTGATACCAAACTCAAAATTTGAGAACATTCAAAGCAATGGTAACAAACACACAAAATCAACTTTGAAATCAAAATCGAAAGGAAGATAACATATAGACTTGACACATGCACATTTATTTCTTACCCAATATAGACTTGATTGTATGAAAGACTTGCCATTGTGCTCTGTTCCATCACCATAATTCTGCGCTTGTGGTTCTCTTTCAAGAATCTCAATATATGCATCAATTGTCTGTCAAATTGGAACCCAAAAGTGATGTTAATAAATTAATGAGAAGTTTCTCAAAGTTAAAAAATTGTAAATTTTATATGTATATAGCTGGATATGTCGTTACTAAGCGCTTGATATCATTAATAAACACACAATTGTCATATTTTCTGCCAAATCATATACAAGCACTACAAAATAATAAAAAATGTGTTAATAATTAATTCAAAATGTTTTTAGAAAATAGAGTTATTTCTCGGTTTTATTTCATATTTCGTACTATATGGAAAATTGGAAAATTTATGTAAGATTATACCTTGATTCTGTTTGCTTTTCTTTCCAAAGAAATTGTAGTTTATCTTTATCTTCAGGAGGTAGCAATTGAGCCACAACATATATGTTAGAAATTGTTTTATCTTTGTGTTCCTTCTCTTTCTCAACTTCAACTTTCTTGCCTCAATACTCATAATCTGGCATCTCAGTAGTCTTCCTTGTTTTAGCTTTGATCTTTATTATCATGGAATTTTGCAGATTTGTTTGTCTTGATTCTGTCAGATGATCATCTTTTGTTGCACAAACTTCTTGGGTTAAGTCATGGACCTCTTCTTCCACTAATTAATTTTGCAACTGAGAAATTTGATATTTTGGTATATCACATTCATCCTTTGCATTTGTCTCACAATCTTTTGTTGCAAAAGCTTCTTGCATTATCTCATGGACCTCTTTTTGATGGAGATCTTTGACCACCACTTTAGAATTTTCATGTAGCTCTTTCTGCACCACTTGAGAATTTTCATTTTTATTGTATGACCTTCATTCTTTGTATCTGTCCTAGAATTCTTTATTGCCCTAACTTCTTGGGTTATCTTATGGACCTCTTTTTCAACCAATTGGTTATGCAATCGAGAATTTTCATGTTTCAATTGTTGTATTTGTGCTATGAGCATCTTGTTATCCTCTTCAAGTTTATTTATGTAGATGGTCTTCACTGTATTGCCAATTTGCAAATTGGTGTTCTCAGCTTGAAGTTTTTTAATTGTTTGTTGACCAATGTGTTCTTCTCCTTCAGGTTCATCATTGATCATAATGTCGTACAAGCCATCTATGTCTTCATTTGTGTCTTTTTGATTGACATCACATTCATCTCTCATGTAGTTGGTGGTTTCTATGCTTTCAGAATTTTGCAATTTCTTATTTGTTGGCTTTTCTTCTTGGTGGTGTTCTTCAACATCTTTACCATCTTCTTCTTCTTCTTGTTCTTCTTTTTCATCTTCTTCTTCTGCATCTTCTTCTTCTTTTTCTTTAGCATTTTCAGCATCTTGTTTTTCTTCTTCTTCAATAGCCTCAGCATCTTCTTCTTCTTTTTGTTCAGTATTTTCTTTTTCTTCCTCCTTTTCTTGTAGTTGTTGTTGTTGTTGTTGTTATTGTTGTTGTTGTTGTTGTTGTTCTTCTTCTTCTTCTTCTTCTTCTTCTTCTTCTTTAGTGTCATCTTGTTCTTCATCACTTTCCTCACTTAATTGAGCGACCAATTACCTATAGGTCAACATACAGTAGATATTAGTTTTTCAAATAATTGAAGTTTAGGAAGCTAAAAAGTTTTTTCAGTTTTTTTGTTTATAAACTCAGTAATAATTCAGTCTATAAAATAGAGAATTTTCCCAACTTCAATTGAAATTCAAATGGGATAGGGATGTGACCTGTCTTGTTGTCAGCTCATGTAGTGATATGACTTTCATACGTTTGTGTAATTTGATAAGATTTCACTTGATTACCCTTGGGCACACTTCGTTAACTTTAGGTTGGATGATTAGTGTGTGCTCACATAACCAATAAGAAATAATACTTTCTACTATTAATAACAAACTAATAGATTAAAGTAAAGATGTACTTACTAACAGAGCCATAACACATCCTGTGAATTTTGCTAGATTTTTGCGGTGTTGTTCAATTGAAGACATCAATGTGTTCCTTATTGCTTTTGCCCAATTGTATTTTCTCATTGACTTTATGTCTTCCATTTAATTAAGAACTACCCATCCAACTATCATTCCGGTTGTAGAGAAATAAAGCTTCAAACAAGGATACATGCACAACATCCTAATTACGTCTTTTGTGTCTTCTTTCTTATTGCCTTTCAATGCTTTTTGCAACAAGCCCATGATGGTTGTGCTTGATAGCCTTTTAGTCTGTACGGATCTTTTTGTAAAAAATGATGATATACCTTTATTTCCATAACCAAGATTCATTGGCTCATCTCCACAAGATATATTGAAAATGGACTTGATGTCATGCGTTGTTAGCTTTACAGTTTCCTGTCCTAACTGGAACGAACCATTGCTGCTTGACTGGTATGTTTGAATTATTTTGAATGCAATATCATCATATTTTCCGCATTGTTTATAATTCAACTTGTTCTTCAATATTGCATCAAACAATAACCAAAATGGGTTTCCTTCAACCCTTTAATATGTTCCTTTTTGAGTTTGATGTGCTACATTAGCTTCACTATTGTTCCCTTGTTTGATATGTAATTTACTTTCCATGCTCTATGCCTTTCCTTTAGCTTTTTCTCCTTCAAAGTTGATTGTTTATGCTTTCTCATTGTTTTCTTTGCATTGCTCTTTACTGTTGGTGTTTTCATGAGTTGATTTCCTGGAAACAAAATCAACTTGAAATATGAGAACACTCACAACATTGGAAACAAAATCAGTATTTAAACATAAATCAAAAGCAAGAGAAAATGGTTAACTATGATTTTTCATTCAAATTGACTCAAAATATGAGAATATTCACAACAATCATACTAAACTGAACGTTGAAATCTAAATTGGAAATAGGAGAACATGATTAACTAGGGGTTTTCACCCAAATCAATTCATAATTTGAGAACATTCACAGCAATGGTACCAAAATCAACAATGAAAGCTAAACGGAAAGCGTGAGAACATGATTAACTGGGGTTTTTTACTCAAATTCATTCAGAATCTGAGAACATTCACAGTAATGATACCAAACTCAATATTGAAACCTAAATTGGAAGTAAGAGAAGATGATTAACTAGGATTTTTCACTCAAATTGATTTAAAATCTAAGAACATTCACAACAATGGTACCAAAATAAGCAATGAAACCTAAATCGAAAGCATGAGAACATGATTAACTAGGGTTTTTCACTCAAATTGATTCAAAGTCTGAGAACATTCACGGTAATGGTACCAAAATCAGTATTTAAACATAAATCAAAAGCAAGGGAACATGATTAATTAGGACTCCCACACAAATCAATTCAAAATTTGACAACATTCACACACTAATCTTATCAAACTCAACAATGAAACCTAAACGGAAAGCATGAGAACATGATTAACTAGGATTTTTACCCAAATTGATTCAGAATATGAGAACATTCACGACATTGGTACCAAAATCAACAATGAAACCTAAATCGAAAGCATGAGAACATGAATAACTAGGATTTTTCACTCAAATTGATTTAGAATTTGAGAATATTCATAGCAATGGTACCAAAATCAAGAATGAAACATAAATTGAAAGCATGAGAATATGATTTACTAGGGTTTTTCACTCAAATTGATTCAGAATTTAAAAAGATTCACAACAATGGTACCAAAATCAACAATGAAACCTAAATCGAAAGCATGAGAATATGATTTACTAGGGTTTTTCATTCAAGTTGATTCAAAATCTGAGAAGATTCACAGTAATGGTAACAAAATCAACAATGAAACCTAAATCGAAAGCATGCGAACATGATTAACTAGGGGTTTTTAGTCAAATTCAAAATCTGAGAACATTCCTAGCAATGGTACCAAAATAAACAATGAAACCTAAATCAAAAGTATGAGAACATGATTAACTATGGTTTTTGGCTCAAATTCATTCAGAATGTGAGAACATTCACAGTAATGGTACCAAACTCAATATTGAAACCTAAATTGGAAGTAAAAGAACATGATTAACTAGGGTTTTTACTCAAATTGACTTGAAATATGAGAACATTCACAACAATGGTACCAAAATCAACAATCAAACTTAAATTGAAAGCATGAGAACATGATTAACTAGGGGTTTTTTACTCAAATTGATTTAGAATCTGAGAACATTCACAACAATGGTACCAAAACCAACTTTCAAACTGAAATCTAAAGGAAGATAATGCTATTAACTATGATTTTTGACTCAAATTGACTCGAAATCTGAGAAAATTTATAGCAACAATAACAAACTCAACATTCAAATTGAAATGGAAGTCAAAAATAGAAGTTTTGAAAATGGAAGATTTTGTAGAAACTAGAGTTTAAGATGTTTGAATCTTACTTGTTTTCACCAATTTGGAACTCGACATTCAAACTGAAATGGAAACCAAAAACAAAAGTTTTGAAAATGGAAGATTTCGTTGAAACTAGGGTTTAAGGTATTTGAATCTTACTAGTTTTCACCATTTTGGTTGTTCGAATCTGAGAATGTTTGATGATCTAGTTTGTTGTTCTGGAATCTGAGCCGAGATTGATGAAGTAAGATGAAATGTGAGGCGAAATTGATGAAGGTGATAATGAAATCTGTGAGGGATGTGAAATGGTGCGAATGAACTGTGAAGAATGAAAAAGTTGTGATTGTATTTTATGTTTTTGATTTGGTAAGGGTAGTTTCATCATTTAAACTTGTTACGGGACTTATAGGTAAAAAGTTTTTTAAGTAGGACTTAATGTACCATTATGTACTAAAACAGGACCTAGCTATAAATCTCCCTTTAAACATAAAGCTAGTTGACAAATGCTTAAAATCAAGCATGCACAACCTTGAACTAGCCAATCGACGAGACCTAGACACGAAATTCTAATATAGTCGGAAGGATTATATATTAATAAAATTTTAAAAAAAATGATAAATTAATTCTTTTTAAATATTAAATTAGGTACTACTACTAGTATAATTTATGGATAATAAAAATTCAGATCATTCGCCCCACCTCAACCCCTCCTGCTGTTCGGGCGCAGAGAATACAACAAAGATGAAAAACAAATCTTCCAGAAGTGTTCTGAAAGGGTTTTCCAAGCACCGAAGAAAAATGCATTTCAAAAAAAGAAATTCAATTTCATCTTCGTCTTTTAATGTTTGAAAGAAATTATCTTTGGATTTTGTCTGAATTGTTCTCTTGTTATTATTTCTTTACATCTCAGATTTCAATCTTTAATCAGCAAAACTATGTATCTAATTATACAAACTCTTTTTTCTTTTTCTTTTTCTTTAAAATTATTAATGTAATCCCAAAAATGAGTTTGGTAATTCCCTCCCCCCCTCAGATTGTATAATTAATTCAAGGCCAAGGTCAAGGCTAAGGTCTCCTTAAATCATACAAATTAATTCACAGAAAATTTTGAGAAAGAGACATTGCCTTTACCAGATGCATGATGATGCTATGATTGTGTATGTAGTTTCCCCATTTACATTGTTTATGAAAAATCTAGAAATCCCGTAGATATTGATTTGTGACTATGTATCAATTTTAACGAGTAAATGGCAATCCTAATCAAACAATCAAAGACAAATCAACACAACGATTTAACGTGGAAAAAGCAAAATTGGAGCGCCTCCAATTGTGATAAAAAAAATCACAGGCAAAAGTCACAAAACAATCCACTAAGAAGACATAAAAGAATTACACAAGTGTATTCTCAATTACCTAGTGAATCCACACCCGAATTGAATCGACCCCTATATGCCTCTTCCAGCCTCGTCTTCACCTCGGAATTGTCTTGCCTTATGTTGAATCCACAACGCCGATGTTGAATCACGACGATGAGCCACTCTGGAATCCACCAAAGCTTCAGGCTCGAATTCCCAAGAATCCATTGAAGAAGAACACTCTCTTTTGTATAGAATAAACAAACAATCCTTTGATGTACACTTCTTAAACCATGAGTTGAATACTCAATCAAACATCAAAGAAAACTAGCAAAATAGCTCCAGAAAAAAACCCTAGAACCCTCAAAGAAGATTTGGAAGCTGTAACCCTAAAATCAGACTGAAACACATATTTATAGAAAATAGATCCGGGATCTTCGCTCGAGCGCAAGAATGGCCGCTCGAGCGCAGGAAGTTCCACTTGAGCACAAAAACACAACTTCCAGTACTTTTGCAGATAGTTCAAACTTCTAGAACCAAAGATTCTCCGCTTGAGCGGACAAGCAACTTCGACTGCAGTTTTGCTTCTGGCTTTGGGGGCGCTGCCCCTCGATCTCACCTAAGCGCTGCCCCCTTGACCCCCGCGAGCTGACTGGGCAGCTCGATGCTCGACAGCCAAGTGGCAAACATGAAAGAATTAATTTTTCAAACATCCTCTGAATAGGCACAATTCAGGTTGGATTTTTATCTAAAACTCATAGCCTCACTGAAATAAAAGATCGAATACAATTACAACTGAAAGGAGTTTTGTCAAACGGGATTGTCAAGAATAAAAGCTAACTGTTTAATTAAGTTTTAGCATACCCAATTGCCATATTAATGTTTTTATAAGCTCCTTTAATAGATGTAATACATCTTTACTATGACCAAAGAAAAAGCTAGCTAGTGGAAGGAAAGAAAATGATTTATAATTTATAAATACAAATTTTATACAAAAAATTCAATAAGAATGATGCGATAGTGGTCGTCTTCAAATTATAAGTCACACTAATTGATGTTTTTAGTTTTTGATGAAAGGTTCATAAAGAGTTACATTGTTTTGTATGTAAATTCTGTACAAAATTCTTATTTGTGGATCATTTTGTGAGAGAATTATCAAAAAATTTTGAAAGAAAATTATCACAGGGCTTGACGGTGGTCATTTAATCAATTGAGCCAAGCCACTTTTTTAAATTATTTTATTTGTGCCTTGAGGGTGGTCATTTAATCAATCAAGTCCAACCATTTTTTTTTATTCGTCTGAATTGTTCACTTGTTGTTGCTCCTTCCATCTCATATTTCAATATTTTAATCTGGAAAACTAATAGTTTGGTCGCCAAAAGTCATATTTTTAGTCGCCAAAAGGTTTTCCCGACTAAATAGTTTGGTTGCCAACTTTGTCGCGGAAAAACGGTCGGCGAAGGTATTGGCGACTAAACAAGTAGTTGCCAAAAGTAAAGGCATTGGCGACAAAAAAGACTTTAGTTGCTGAAAGGCTAAATTGGCGACTAATTTTTTAGTCGCCAAAAGCTTACAATTAAATTTAACATCACATTTTCAGCTACTAAAATTTTTGTCGCCAAAACTTAATTTTATTTTATTTTGGCTACTAAATCATTAATCGCCTAAAGTCTTTTTTTTAAATGGCTACTAAATGTTTAGTCACCAAAAGGTTTGTTTCCATTTAATTCTTTTTTTAGCTACTAACTATTTAGTCACTAAAAATATTTAACTCCATTTTTGCCTACCAATTGTTTAGTCGCCAAAAATATCGTTTTATATATATTTTTATTTTAATTAATTTGTCCACAACCTGTATGTATCCCACGCAACCTGTAACAGGTATACAAACAAACCAATACATACATATTATCACCCATTCCACAACACGTATTTCACTTACAACCATCCAAAAAAGAGAATAACTTTTAATGTCAAATTTTATACAAACCAAGTATATTCCAACTGAAAATAATAATTTCATACAGAATAAAAAGTAGTACAAAAACCATGTCCTCCGTAGACAAAAAGGGAATATCTACAATTCCATGCCAAAAATATCTGTAAAAAAAAAAAATAATCATTAGTATTGACCGAATAGCATTGGCATATTTAAAATTATATAAGGAAATTATATAATGCAAAATCTTTGCATTACCCTTATGGGTCTTCACAAGCAAATAACATCCAAAAGATAGAGATGTCAAAACCCTCTTGTACATGTTTGTCTATGAGTTCCTTCTTAACCTCTTCAGTCTTAGGCTATTAAAAAAATTCACAAAGTAGTGAGATTTACATAAAATTTAATTTTTCACCCACTTTATAATATGGCATTCACTAAAATAATATTTCAAAAATTAATACCCACTTTCTAGTGAAAGTGATTAACTGGAATAAGAACTTGGTCTTTTACAGCTCAAACGAACCTATAGTTATGATTTTCCTCAAATGTTCCACACTAAGAATGACCAAATTTAAGCTAAGGAATATGCATGACATTTTTCTTCAGAATATATGTACACATAAAAATTGGAGAGCATTTGTGTGCCTAAAAACAAGTAAACCTTAGCTTTTTCTAGTCTCTATGCAGCCAACACATATCCAAAATGTGTTATCAAGTTTAATTTAGGGAGATCAAGAAAAAAAGAAAAGAAAAAGGGGGGCTATGCACTGGGGAATAGTTTCAGTTGCAATGCCTAATCTGAATTCTTCTGTGTGCCAAAATCCTTCTCACTATTGTAGAGCTCAAGCTGAAAGGCATAGAAAACCAACAGAATGATGACCACTATGACCATTTTGGTTCAAGATGGTGAATAAATCATCTGAGTGGCCCAGTCATGTTTTGCACAATGGGCACTGGGCACCCAAGTTGAGTATCAAGCACTATGGGTTGTGTTGGAATGGCCAGCAATTGTAGGCATAGGAACTTCACCAGTTTCACAGATTAAGCAGTGCTCATGTCCAGTTTTTCTAGGATGGAAGACAATAGGTGTAATATCAAAGTGGTTTGTATGATATTAATCCAATTAATAAGCTACAAATTAGCTTGTTATTAGATAACACAACACATTATCAGGTATTATATCCAAGAGAGAAGAACATATCAAATAGAACACAATCAAAATTGAGAATACCTGGTGAAATTCAACAAGGAGATTGTTGCTGGTAAGATATCACTCAACTGATAAAGCAGCAATGCATCCTGAACCAGCTGCAATTACGGCTTGCCTCCATTCATGGTCCTATACAAAGATCAAGAAACTGAAATACAAAATAGTCTCAAATAATTACAAGTTGAATGACAAATACAAATATGTAAGAGCTTGATGTATATGTCGAGTCCATGCCCTAACAGATTAAACTTTTGAGGCAACTGGTTGCTTAACATGTTACTAGAGCTTTAGTTCTAGACATCACACGTTCAAATATCATTGTATTTGTTTGTACCTTATAATATGTTTGTCAGTGTGTCAGTTTAGCTTGTGTTAATTTGTATCTTCATGTTGGATAGGGGGTCATAAATAAAGGGAGGGGCGTGACAGCTTAAAAATGTGTTGGACTTATTTCCGAATAGGTTAAGCTTTTAGAGTAACTAGTTACATTACAAAACCCAAAGAATATCATGAAAATTCTTATCAAATTGGGATTTTATTCATCTTTTCGGTTTCTAAACTCAACCAACCTGTAACAAACCAGCCCAACACATCCTATAACTCAATTACGAAGTAAAAAGGATGTAAACAAAATAATAAACAACTACCAACATCCACGGACACATGTCCGGATCACTGTCCAACAAGGGTAAACCCGGGATCGCTATATAATATATTTGTCAGTGTGTCAGTTTAGCTTGTGTTAATTTGTATCTTCATGTTGGATAGGGGGTCATAAATAAAGGGAGGGGTGTGACAGCTTAAAAATGTGTTGGGCTTATTTCCGAATAGGTTAAGCTTTTAGAGTAACTAGTTACATTACAAAACCCAAAGAATATCATGAAAATTCTTATCAAACTGGGATTTTATTCATCTTTTCAATCAAATATATGAATTGGGCAAGTGTCCCTACAGCAGGCAAAACTAACTTGTTCTACATTTGTACTGATGGAGTGTCATTACCAAAATTGGTAACCGCATCCATTTTGAAGTGCATAAAAAGTAGAGTAAGTGACACATAATGAACCTGGAGAGTTTCATAAAACATAGAATAGAAGCAGATGGAGAGTTTCATAAAACATACAAAAGAAGCAAAAATTAATCAAGTTTTGAAATAGTTACCTGTACATCTCTAGCTGCAAATACACCTTCAACGGAAGTTTCTGCACTACCCTCCTTCACCAACACATAACCTATGTTGTCAAGTTTAACTTGACCTTCCAACAATTGGCAAAAGGCCATCATTCAACTTTTCTCATTTTATTCTCAAACCAAGTACAAAATAATTATATGGAGCAGAAATAAGAAGGCATACCAGAGTAATGACCATTCAAAAAATAGTCTAGTTTAGTAAAACATTTAATCCTAACCCTCAACTTGAGCCACATTACCATAACAATTCAATGCAAGGACACAAGCACTGCTAAGGTAAGTAGATTAGATTTTAGAGAAACCTAAGAGACATTTATCAAAAAGTTTGAAGGCAAGAAAAAAAAAGAAAAAAAAAACAAACAAACAAATTGAAAAGCCATAACAACTTCCCAAACCAACAATTCATGGGGGGCAACGAGCCATTAGATTTTAATGGGTTTTGATTTATATATATAGATATATATATACACACAAAGAAAACTGGAAGAGGAAGAAACAGAGAGGGGTGTGAGGATGATTCTGGAAATTTTCTTGGAAAGTGGAAAGAAAGAGAGAGCTTTCAAAATGGAGACTTTGAGAGAGAGAGAGAGAGAGAGAGAGAGGTACCTCAGGCTCGGACAACGGTTTGCACTGCATGAGCTGTGTAATCTGCTCATCGAGATTCCCATGGGTATTCGAGGCGACCAGATCTACACTCATCTTCTGGATTATATACAAGAAACGATTTCAATGAAGAAAAACAGTGATGGTTTTATTGATACCCAGAAAAATGGTGTAGAAGAAGACCTAATCACTAACCTAGATTTTGGGTCAATATGCGAACTGCACAGAGAGAGAGAGAGAGAGCTCGCAATTGGTGATCCAATTGTCGGCTACCGTGAGAAGGAGCGGTGGAGGCATGGTTGGTGGAGCGGCGGTGAGAGAGGGAGCAGAGAAGAGCAACGGAGAGGCAGAGGGAGAGAGAGAGGGAGAGGTAGAGAGAGACGCTGAGGAGAGAGAGAAAGAGGTGCTGGTCTGTTGCCTGGGAACTATATATATATATATATTACACCATTACCGACTGAATATTTTTAGTCGCCAATTCATTTAATAAAATCCCTCCAAAATTTGAAATGTTTGGCTCCAAAAATTTTTGGTTTTTGGCGACTAAAATAGTTTTTGGTCATTGAAAATAATTTTTTATATTTCCATTCGGTGACGAAATAATTTTAGTAGCCAAAAATTCAATATATGGCGACTAAAAAATTTTTCTGTTACTGAAACTAAGTTTTTGGCGACCAAAGATAAAAAATAATTATTTATTTTCCATTCGGCGACTAAATGGTTTTAGTAGCCAAAACTCAATGTATGGCAACTAAATTTTTTTTTTGTCGCCAATTCTGGAATTTTTAGTGACTATTTTTTTTTTTAGTTGCCAATAATCAATATACTCCAACTAAAAAAAATTAGTACCTAAATATTTTACTTTTGCCGACTAAAAAAATTATTAGTCGCCAATTCCCCAACTTTTGGCGACTAAATTTTTTTAGTCGCCAATTTTTGTCTCCAAATGTGCATTTTGTTGTAGTGATTTGCATTTCTCTCCATTTCAAATTGCAATATTTATAAATCCTAGGGTACTTATTGTTGACCTCAAGTCAAAGTCTTCTCAAATCATACAAATTAATTACATTTTAATGCTGCATTATCATAACTTTTGGTCAAGGTGGGCTCACCATTAGGTAAGCGTGGATCATTTTAGGCCCATCAGTCTCTTTAATGTCACCTATAAGGCCATCACCAAAATCATTGTGAACAGACTTCGACGTCCTCTCTTTGACCTTATTAGCCCTAACCAGAGTAGCTTCATACTTGGCAGAATCACCACTTATAACATTGTAATTACCCAAGAGATCCTTCATACACTTAGGGGTAAAAAAGGCAAGGCTGGTGGTATGGTTATTAAGCTTGACCTTGAGAAGGCCTATGATCGCATATCTTGGGATTTCCTTCATCATTCCCTTAAAGAATTAAATCTAAACTCTAATTGGATAGCTCTTATCATGAATTGTGTGTTAATTCTGAAATCCTTTGGAATGGTGAGGCCTTACCTAGCATTCTCATGGGGAGAGGCCTCAGACAAGGGGATCCTCGTTCCCTGTACTTGTTTGTCATCCGTATGGAAGCTCTTTCCAATTTGATTAGATTGAAAACTAATAGTGGTGAATGGAAGGGCCTTAAGGCTTCCACTCATAGCCCTCCTATTTCCAATTTTTTTTTGCTGATGATTTAATTCTCTTTGCTCAAGCTAATAGAAGGAACTGTGATTGTATCATGGATGTGCTATCTGAATTCTATGCTATGTCTGGTCAAAAAATCAACTTTCAAAAATCCAAAATGTTCATTTCATCTAATATCCATAGAAGGGAAGCCAATAACCTCAATTGCCAGTGTGGTGTCTCTCTCACTAATGACCTAGGAAAATACCCAGGCACCCCTCTTCTTCACAATAGAGTTAGCAAAAACCACTTGAATGACATCATTGACAAAATGGCCAAAAGGCTATTTGGATGGAAAGCCAAAAATTTGTCCTTAGCTGGTAGAACCACTCTGATCAAGGCTGTGTAACGATCAAAATTTTTTCCCTCCGCTCAAGCAGGGGAGTCCACGCTCGAGCGGACTTGAGAGGCTCCCAGCACTTTTCCAGTTTATCTGAAATTCTAAGAGTTGTGAATTCCCTCTCGAGCATAGGAGTGGTCGCTTGAGCAGACAACTTTGTTGGTTTGCACGCTCGAGCGGTCTGCCTGGTTGAGTTTGAATTTCTGGGACTAGTGGGATAGCTCTTGACATTTTTATTGTTGTGTTTGGAGCCTCCTTATTTTATTTTGGGACATTGATCGAAGTGGTAACATGATGGTAAAGTAAGATTGGAGCAAAAACTTTAATTCAGATAATTTTCCTACGAACAGTCGTTACTCTTTCGCCCTTTTCTTTTTCCATATTTTGAATTTGGATGTGAGGCTAGATCCATTGGAAATCTTGTTTCTGGGGCTTCGATTTGGACAAGTAGCTCTAAGGTTAATAAAATAATAGGCTCAAAACTTTTTTTTTGCTGATGATTTAATTCTCTTTGCTCAAGCTAATAGAAGGAACTGTGATTGTATCATGGATGTGCTATCTGAATTCTATGCTATGTCTGGTCAAAAAATCAACTTTCAAAAATCCAAAATGTTCATTTCATCTAATATCCATAGAAGGGAAGCCAATAACCTCAATTGCCAGTGTGGTGTCTCTCTCACTAATGACCTAGGAAAATACCCAGGCACCCCTCTTCTTCACAATAGAGTTAGCAAAAACCACTTGAATGAATTCATTGACAAAATGGCCAAAAGGCTATTTGGATGGAAAACCAAAAATTTGTCCTTAGCTGGTAGAACCACTCTGATCAAGGCTGTGTAATGATCAAAATTTTTTCCCTCCGCTCAAGCAGGGGAGTCCACGCTCGAGCGGACTTCAGAGGCTCCCAGCACTTTTCTAGTTTGTCTGAAATTCTGAGAGTTGTGAATTCCCGCTCGAGCATAGGAGTGGTCGCTTGAGCAGACAACTTTGTTGGTTTGCACGCTCGAGCGGTCTGCCTGGTTGAGTTTGAATTTCTAGGACTAGTGGGATAGCTCTTGACATTTTTATTTTTGTGCTTGGAGCCTCCTTATTTTATTTTGGGACATTGATCGAAGTGGTAACATGATGGTAAAGTAAGATTGGAGCAAAAACTTTAATTCAGATAATTTTCCTACGAACAGTCGTTACTCTTTCGCCCTTTTCTTTTTCCATATTTTGAATTTGGATGTGAGGCTAGATCCATTGGAAATCTTGTTTCTGGGGCTTCGATTTGGACAAGTAGCTCTAAGGTTAATAAAATAATAGGCTCAAAACCCCCCAAAGGTAGGGCCCATTTGAACCCTAAAATCTGAAAAAAAAACACGCAGGGTTCGACCCTTCGGGCAAGGGGGTTGACCCTTTAGGTAGAAAAGACAATCTGGCACAAGCAAGGGGGGTCCACCCTTAGACAAGAGGAGGTCAACCCTATTTTCCAGCAACCAACACAAAAATTCTGCAACATAAGAGGGTTGACCCTTCCCAGACTGGTGTCGACCCTATAGAAAACCAGCAGAGGCACTAAGAATTCAAACAGGTATAACTCTCTCGTTCGAACTCTGTTTTAGGTCATTCTTGTGTCCAAATCGAAGCCCCGGAAACAAGCTTTCCAATGGTTCTAGCCTCACATCCAAATTCAAAGTATGGAAAGAGAAAAAGGAAAAATAGTGAAGGCTTGTCAAAAACAAAAACTCAAATTTGGGGCTTTTGATCTAATCTTGCCTAAACACTTTGTTAAGGCTTCAATCAAGGTTCCAAACATCACCCAAGGGTCCTCAATTATAATATTTAATGTTCATTTTCCAACCCATCAATACCAAAAGTCCGACAACCACACAAGTTTTAAGGTGATGAGCACCACTTTACACAAATTCGATAAGTATTAAAATCCGGGCCAGTACGAAAAGAGTGAGACACATAATTTTAAATTAGGTGGTGAGAAACGGTAAAAGATTTTTGTGATTGAAAGAAATACTGTTACGTGATGACTAAAGACCACTTAATAATTTTTGTCGTAATGCTCTCCTTTCATTGGGCCTATTACAATTGAATCATATAATTTGTTCATTTTGTCTAGTGTACTTCATTACGTGGGTTGACTTTGCGTCTAGAATCATAACACAAACATTTTGTAAGTTCCACCAAATGGGAAAAGGAAAAAATGTAAATCAAGCAATTTGTTACATTCATTTATGCATAGACAAGTGATGATATCGCATCGATTGAAGCGGAGGCACCAACATGGCCTCCAAAGCTGTTGAGTGTTGGTCATCATGGTCGTAAGGGTGGTTGGGAGGTGGAGGTGCTTCCCGTCCATGACAACAGTGCAATGGAGTTTTTGTGATGGCGTTTTAAGGAAGCGAAGCAGGTCAAGGATGGTGTTTTTGCACCACCAAATGGAGCTTTGACAATTATAAATCCACACAAGCAACAGTTCATGGGAATGATGAATATATCATGGAACCACAAGAATCTACTGGAGCACAACAAATACTCATAAGAAAAATATGAAGTTACATACCTGCTTCTTCTCATTGGAGATTAAAACAACAAATAGATCAAATCCCTTTGCATCTGCTACTCCACTTGTGCAGAGCTTTTTGTAATGCAAATATGCATTCTCCCCATACAAAAATAATATAAAAAAATAACCCAAAAAATATTGCTTAAGGAAATGCAAAAGGAAACAGATGAAGGGTAATTCATGGTTAAGCAATTAAATGTGGACAAAAAAAATTCAAGATTATATGTTTGATAGAGATCTAGACTACCTTCTTGCATTCAATATATATATTTGATTCAGAAATTATTCATTAAACTTAATAAAGTAAATTTATTAAAAAAACTATTTTATTATCTTATAATCAAGCATATCTGGTAACAATACCTCATATACAAAAAAAATTGTTAGGCCGCCCCATTTGCTGCAGTGTTTATGATGACCAAGCATATCTGACCACCTCACCGAGAGATAGAGTTCTCTATTGATCTAGTGCCCGGCACGGCGCCGATTTCTATGGCACCTTACCGTTTTGCTCCAGCAGAGTTGGTTGAGTTGAAGGTTTAGCTCTAGGAATTGCTAGATAAGGGCTTTGTTCGCCCTAGTGTTTCGCCGTGGGGAGCACCGAAATGAAATAAAAATAGGAAATTGAATGGAGATGGAAATTGAATAAAAATAGAAGTTGAATAAAAATAGAAATAGAAACTACATAAAATTAAACGTGGAAGTTCACTCAT